AGTCTCTAAGGTGCCACAAGTACTCCTTTTCTTTTTGCGAATACAGACTAACACGGCTGTTACTCTGAAACCTGTCATGTTTAAATAGTTATTGTGCCTCTTATTTTCTCCCTATCTTGTGTTAGCTTGTACATATATTGCTCATTATTAATCTATTGTTCCTCAATGTGATATAGTTACAAAATTATAAACATCCAGGCCTCTTAAGAAAATATGCTTTAGCAAAAAGATATTATATCTCTAGGAGTTTATTGACTTAACTATTATTAGTATTATATTACTATCATTATTATTTTATTGCCATTGTGTAAAAATGCAGGATCCAGGGCAGCTGCTAAACATAGAATTTAAATGATTTTTACCACATTGGACTACCTTTAATAAAATCCAGTACAATTCGTATAGTTTCTCAGGCTTTTCTTGATTATTATTTTTTTTGTCCTTGCTGAATATGGATTTTCTACATATCTGTGTCTCTAACATGTGAAATATAGAAATATTGAAAATAGCTGAATATTTTTAAATTGTAGAAACATGTTCCATGCCTACTGTTGAGGGTTCAGTATATGGATATTTAAAAAAAAATCCTATTTTTGGTAATGCCTCTAACTTTAGGCCTTTCATATTTTTGAGGGAGCCTGGCATATATTGTATGCAATGCTGGTAGCACTGCCAATAGTTAAGGTTGCCAGACTCTTCCCATAATATGGCCCTGTTTTCAGTTGCTCATAACTTCGCCATGCTTTAGCCTTTTGGGATGAAATTTTCCATGCTGCATATCTGTCTCAGGCTGAATTTTTATTTTAAAGTTTCAGTAAAAATGATTCATCCATTTCTGAGAACAAGAGTTAGGAAAATATGCTGTTTTACCCATGTTTAAAAACAAACAAACAAACAAACAAACAAAAAACACCATGCCACAGATACTTTGTTGGAGCAGGGCCCTAAAATTTGGCAAGGAAATCTGATGATGGGGATGTGCCTTTTGGGAAGATTTTCAGAGGGACAGCAAATTTGTCTCTGAAAGAACTCAGTTTGCACATGCTCAGTAAGGCCTGTTGGCACTCACAGCTAAATTCCCTGAAGATTCCATCTGTACTGGGCAAGCTTCAGCCCAGGATTCTAGGGGCTCAGCAGGACTTTCACTGCAATTGCTCCTCTGTGCTGCTGTTGTGTTGGGCACTGGAACTCAGAGCAGGGAGCCTGTGCCCCCACTGTTCTTAATGCACCCCCTGCTGGGCCCAGGCAGCATGGAGGAGGAGGAAGTTGTTGTCTTGCCAACTCTTGTGATTTGATTGTGAGTCTCATGACCTGTAGTGTTTTTCTTACAGCCCCAGCTCCAGGAATCATGTTTTTGCTCTGAAACAAGAAGGCCAAGAAAAATAACATGTAGTTTTTTAAAAATCCCATGATTTTTAGCCTGTTTCATTAATATTTGGGGCTAGATGCATGGCATGGGCGTTTAACACTTGGGGATGGTAACACTTGAGCTGACTGGAGTGCAGAGGGGTGAGGAGTGGGGGCTGGGGAAAGGGGCTGACAGGAACCAGAGAGTGAGGAAGGAGCAGAAGTGGGAGGGGTATATGAGTCGGGGGTAGGGGGGGTTTAGGAGCAGAGGGAGTGGAAGAGGAGTGCATAGGCACAGAGAAGGTAGGGGGCATGAGCCCAAAGTATGGGAGGGGGAGGACCGGATAGGAGCAGAGGGTAAGGGAAATAGGAACTGAAGCTGGGGTGGGAGTAGATAGGAGGAGAGTGGTGGGGCAGGAGCCAGGGGGTTGGATAGGAAAAGGAGGTGGGGGAAGGGTAGGCATAGAGGGCAGGATGCAAGGCATGGAGAGTAGTGGACAAAGGGAGGCAAGGAGGGGTGGGGTTAGATAGGAGGAGAGTGGTGGGGCAGGAGCCAGGGGGTTGGATAGGAAAAGGAGGTGGGGGAAGGGTAGGCATAGAGGGCAGGATGCAAGGCATGGAGAGTAGTGGACAAAGGGAGGCAAGGAGGGGTGGGGGTTAGATAGGAGGAGAGCTGAACAGGGGCAGCCTTGTGGGGGAATTGGCTAAAGTGTCTGTGACCACTAGAGAACACTCCCCTCCAGAACCTAGGAGTTATGAGTCTCACCGTTCCTCTGCTGTCAGCAAATAGCAGTAAAACACAGGGGCATCCCTCTTCTAGTCCTCATCCACATAGAGGATAATAGACTACTACTGCTACTAGTTACTGCATTAGTTCAGGTGGTAGAGGTCTGTGCAGTGAATCTAAAGTTCCAAACCCTAATGATGAGCCAAGCTGGGGTTCAGTATGATTCCACATGATTCTGACTTTTTTCTATTTTAAAAACTACATTTTAAAAAAAACCTATGCTAAAAAACTGTTAAGACTGTAAATTTTAGCATTCAAAGCTTAGGAAATGCTGGAATTAAGGTTGTCTGTGCAATCCCCTTGTGTGTACATGTGAAAAATGTGGAAATTATCTTCAATTTTTGTGTGTGTTTTATATTATATTTGTGGGTTTGATGGATTCCGTTGCTTGTTAATGGTTAAACTTAGTCCTAATTAGCTTTTGGGTTGCAGGAACCCAGTTAACATCAGTAAACTTCTCTAATTGTTGCTGCTCACAAGGACAATACCAGGAATCTACTATTTGAAGACCCTCTTCACAATACTTTGCACTTGTCTTTATTGAATTTCATCTAATTGATTTCAGACCAATTCCCCAGTTTTTCAAGATCATTTAAAATTCTAATCCTGTTTCCCAAGTGTTTGCAACCCCTCTCAGCTTGATGTCACCTGCAGATTTTGTCTGTGTACTCTCTACTCCGTCATCCAGGTGAAATGAAAATACTGAGTAGTACTGACCCAGGCCTGAGCTCTGCAGGACCCCACTTAATATGTCCCCCCAGTTTGACAGTGAGCCATTGCTAACTACTCTTTCAACTAGATGTGCACCCACCTTATAAGAGACACAAAGTGGGTGAAGGAATATCTTTTATTGGATCAGCTTCCGTTGGTGAGACAAGCTTTTGAGCTGTGTTGGAACCAACGCAGCTACTGTAACACTTCATACAAACACACACACCCCTTATAATTATTTCTTCTATCTAGACCACTTCATAGACCATATTTCCCTAGTTTGCCTATAACATTGTCATGTCTTCTACTGGAATGGCCCAAAACACTGAAATATCACACTTGCAAGCATTAGTGTTCTTGCCAATTCTTGCAGAGTACCATGAAGGGTTTTTATGAGAGATCCAATAGGCATTTAAACAGAAATACTGTAGTATATACAGAGATATTTTTCACTTTCCACTAAAATTGAGAGGAATTTACTTTGGTATACATGATGCAAAACTGTCCACCTCCCTTTCCTTCAAACTACAACACTACGAGTCACAGGGTTTTATGCTCTTTGATATTTTCAGTGTTTGCAGTTTTGTTTGGCATTTAATTTCCATTTTACAACAGAAAAGTAGATCATTTTTCTGACATGGCTAAAAACTAATTGAATGTGACTAATCTGGAATTATTTCTTTTGTCTCTGTGATCCTTTGCCTTTGACACCACCCGTGTATAATATATATATATATATATATAGGTGAACTTTAAAAGGTTCAGCTTTAGGTTGTGGTTCAGATAAGCATCCAAACATTTGAATGCCCATTCAAAGCTTATCCACACTTTCCTAATCTCTGCAAAACTGGACTGAAAATTTAGGACAAAGAAAAACTTTCCTCATGAGGTTTCCAGTGCTTCCATTACTGGAACAGGATGGAAATACCATGAGGTCAGTCTTTCTTCCAGTATTTCAAATCTTTTACATCTGGATAGAAACTGGAAGGGAGAGATTCTATGTAGAAATAGCATTATCTGAATATTGCAGTGCCACAGAAAAGTTTGGTTTTAAAAATAGGTGAACCAAACTGGTTTATCCATCACTTACCAAAATTATTTCAAAAAATTTCAAAATTCTAGTGGCATCCAGTCAATTGGCACCAGGAGCAATGACATGTTCAATTAACCCCTTTGTTGCTGAGCTGGTGGCACTTTCCTAGGTGCTAGGTTCTGCATGGAACTCAAATTTGGTAGTGCACTTTTAAGTGTCAGTCAGTTCGGAGTCAGTGCATGGAGTGTGTATGTCCTCAAGGTTGTATGTGCATCCCTGGGTCGGTGTGTGTATTCCTGGGTTGTGTGTCCCTGGGATGTGTGTATGTGCTCCAGAGGCGGGGTGTGGTGTGCAGCTGGCAGCAGGGAGGGAGGCAGGTGTGACCCTGGAGTAGTGTGGAGTGTATCTCTGGGAGTGGTGAGTGTCTCCGGGTTGTTGTGTGCCCCTGGAGCAGTGTGTCTCTCGGGGGCGGGGACGGGGAGGGAGTCTCTCTGAGGTGTTATGTCCCCACTGTAGTGTGCCCTCCTGGAGCAGTGGGTAGTGAGTGGGTGTCTCTGGGGTGTGTGCCCCTGAAGCAGTGGGTGGGGGTCTCTGGAGCACTATGTCTCTGAGGTGTTTTGTCCCCACTGTAGCGTACACCCCCGGGGAAGCGTGTGGCTGGCGGGTGTCTCTAGGGCAGCGGGTGGTGGTGGTGAGGGAGGTGTCTCCGGGGCAGCGTGTGGCGGGCGGGGGGGGGACACCCCTGGGGCAGCCCGTGTGGTGGGCGAGTGTCTATGGGGCAGCGTGTGGTGGGGGGGGGTATCTCTGATTCGTGCACCCCTGGGGCAGCGTGGGGTGTGGGAGGGTATCTCTGATTCGTGCACCCCTGGGGCAGCGTGTGGCAGGCGGGGGGGTGGGTGTCTCTGCGGCTGAGGTGTCCCGGGCAGGGGGTGCCCCTAACTGCCTGTGCTCTCTCTCCTGCTGGTGTTTTGGGGCCCAGATCACCGCTGCCGGGTGGCGCTGCGAGGCGCCTTCAGCCCGGCCTCCGAGGGGAGAGCCCGCGGGCGGGGGCGGTCCGCCAGCCGCACTGTCCCGAGTCGCAGCCAGCTGCGCAGCCACCTGAATAATCCCCGGCCCGCTGGAAGCCGAGAGACACCGCAGCTGCCCGGGGCGGCCAGCCCGACCCCAGCGAGGGGGAGGGCTGGGCAGCGCAGGGACCCACCCTCCCAACGAGCAGCCCCAGCCTCCCGCCCGCTCAGCACCCGCCCAGTGCAGCCCCCGCTTTCTCCCGCCGGGTGCGACTGGAGAGGCAAAGCGCGGCCACCGCGGCGAGCGGGAGGGACCCGGGCTGAGCAGGGGCCGCTCCCCGCGTTGCCCGCCCGCGCGGGACGCTGCGTGTGTCTCAGGTGGGCAGAGGCTGCGGAACTTCCCGGGAAGCGCGAGCGGGAGCGAGACGGAGGCGGCGGCCGCAGCAGCAGGGGATGGTGGTTGGCACCCGCCGGAGGACAGCAGCCCGCTAATGTCAACATGTAAGTTTCGCCTCCCTGCGCTTTCCACAGTGGGGCGAGGAGTATTTTTAACCGTCGGAACAGTTTGGTAAGGACCGACTCTCGCCAGCTGCTAGGGGCGGCAAACCGGTTGGTCCTTGGTCAAAGGGATTCCGGCCAGACAGACCGCATTTCTTCCCCCTGTAGCCCGTGCTGAATCTCAGGTTTATTCTGTGCAGAGAGGTAGGGCTAGAAGAATGGGCCAACCGTGTTGTCTATCTGTGCACACTTGCCAACAGATACTGCTTGGCCAATACCGGGATTTGCCAAAAGAATGTTCTGTAAGATCCCGAGAAGACCGATTTTATAAAAAAAATATATATAATTATTTACAGTCAGCTTGAAGGCAGAAGTTACTCTTTACTTTCGATGCTTCCAGGGGAACATTGCAAAAGGAAACAAAGCCCATCCCATCCTTAATGTGCTTTGCTTGTGGGGCAGTGCGCGCGCGCGCGTGTGTCTATGTGCGTGTCTATGTGTGTGTGTGTGTGTGTGTTCACGTTATCTGGAGCCAAAAGTTCAACTCTTTCAAAGCAGAGTTCAGATCTAAGAAACAGATCGGCGAGAGGTACTTTTTCTAGCCAGCAAGGTACTGTGCCAAAAATAGGAAGGAAGGGAAGGGAGAAGGAGGGGTCAGGCGGAATAATAATTTAAGCCTCACTCCTCGCTGTTCCCCACAGTCTCCTACTGGAGAGAGATTGCTAGATTCCCGCAGCCTTTCGGAGGGAGAGAAAGGGCACCTTCACAAAGGGTTCGTAGACGCTATCTTTGATAAACTATCCGGTCCAGGGATTAGCCCTTTAGAATTGTACTGAATCTTGGGCAGATTCCCAAGTAGGCTCTGCCTTTGCTGACATACACAAAGGAGCTGTTGGTGCTTCTCTAGCACATTCACACCTAATGATACAGAGCCTGTGATTGGCACTGAATGAAAGCAATGATACAGGCGCAAAGGGTAGCTTTCTTTTACAGCACAAGGTAAAGTAAAGCGAGAAGAATTTATGACTAAAGAACAAGGGTTGCACGAGCATGTTGGTAACTTAAAACGCTAGAAAATTCATTTTGGAGGGAAATCCAAGGACCAAGAAAATATCGGATACATACAAATGACACGTTTTAAATTAAAATGTATATGCCTTACCTTCATCTTCCGCCAGTATTTTCTAGTCAGATTTTTGGCTGGCTCTGAGAACGGTTGGATATGGGGAGAGTAAGCAGCACTCTACAAAACGAACCTTTTAAATGCCATTGTCTGAAATTAGCAATTTACAGTTAAAAATGAGGTAGAATTGAAGTGTACTCTTTCCTTAGTGTGCAGGAACTAAAACGCGAAGTAGTTGTCTCTCACTTGTTGCTTTATAACTCCATCGTGATTACATCATAAAATATTTTTGTTTCGTAATTTAAATGAGATGTTTTGAAATTGGTGGTATCTCTTTCTAAATTTCAAACTGTCAGCAGCATTTTTTTTTCTTAATAGTTTCATCCATGTCAAAGATCAAAGAAAATCCAGTCAATCTGCCTAGGGCAGAATTCACATCCCACTCTGGAGAACTCTGCCCAGGTTTTGAACAAGGTGTAGGCAGATATGTCCAGCATGTTCTGTAGATGAGGTATTGGTGCATGAACCACAGGTTATTGGATTATTCAGGAGTAGTATGTATTTTACTCCAAAGTTGTGTGTTTCCAAAAATATGCTGGTGTTGCTTTAGCTGGATACTGTATATACAATGTGGGATTTTTGGTAGTTAGATTTAGCAAGACAAGCACTAAATTGGTCTTGAACCATGTCAAATTACCACCCCATTTATGGTTTAGATAAATTACATTACATTTTTGCTCTTCCAGAATGAATTGTGAATACACCCATTGTCTCCTGCATCATAGGAAATAGGAGTACAGTAGCTATGGTTTGCACAAAGTTGGTAGCTAGAGTGCTCAACTGGGTATGTCACAGCAGTATCTAAAATTGTCTTTTCACTGAAAAAATCGGTAATGCTTTTGTTAGCCGTTGTAGACTGCATTTAATATTCTGCAGAGCATTTACATCTGTAGAGGGATAACTGATAGTTGTTAAAAACATGTATAAAAGGATAACTATAGTGGGATTACATCCAGCTATAATGAGATAGTTGCCAACTACAGTATATTGAGCCAAATTCTGCTTTAGCTACATGGATTTCTCTGGGGTCACATGCATGTAACTAAGTGAAGACCGAATCGGACTCACTGTTCTGAATTTTGTCTAAATTTTAAAGAGAGTGAGAAAGAGACATCACTTTGAGCCATGTTCACAATTGCAGTGAATCTGGTTGTTAGAGGCAGAAATTATCTGAAGCTTTACTCCTCTGTAATAGTCATTCTTGTTACAGTTTACAGTATTTACTTGATCCCTTGGGAGGGGGGTTATTATGTTACTATCCTCATATTCTTGTCTCTCCATTAGTTATGAACAGGGTCCTACCAAATTCAAAGCCATGAAAAACGCATCATGGACTGTGAAGTCTGGTCTCCCCCCATAAATCTGGTCTTCTGTGTGCTTTTACACAATACTATGCAGATTTCATGGGGGAGACCAGCGTTTCTCAAACTGGGGGGTCCTGATCCAAAATGGAGTTGCAGGGGAATCACAAGGTTATTTTAGGGGGGTTGCAGTATTGCCACCCTTCCTTCTGTGCTGCCGTCAGGGCTGGGCTGGACAGAGAGCAGGATGCCCAGCTCTGAAGGCAGCGCCCCACCAGCAGCAGTAGTGCCATCCTTACTTCTGCACTGCTGCTGGCGGCAGCTCTGCTTTCAGAGCTGGGCTCCTGGCCAGCAGCTGCTGCTCAGCCACTTGGCTCTGAAGGCAGCGCCACCGCCAGCAGCAGTGCAGAAATAAGGGTAGCAGTACCACAACCCCTGCCTACAATAACCTTATGACCCCCCCCCCACACACACACACACTCCTTTTTGGGTCAGGCCCCCAGAATTACAACACTGACATTTCAGATTTAAATATCTGAAATAATGAAATTTACGATTTTAAAAATCCTATGACCATGAAATTGACCAAAATGGATGTGAATTTGGTAGGGCCCTAGTTATGAATGTTAAGGAGGAAAATGCAGCCCTTCTTGTTCTCTAAGATGTCTCCAAACTGCAAGATACTATTTTTCACTAATTATTCACTAATTTGCTTGTTGAATTATTCATTTGCTATTTAGGTTCAAGTTTTAGATTTTAATAACCATTAATAATCAACAGAATTATTATTAATAAATATATATTATTTGCATTAAATTGACATGTTAGTATTTTAGCATATTTAGCACTTTTACAGAACTTTTTAATTTTTAATGCTCTTTATAAATATTTAGTGCTTAATGTTAATATTTGCCTTTAGTTCCGTTATTCACTTTCACAATATGACTTCTCCAATTACCAGGCTATTCTGAAATGATCTCAGACAGCAGTTTCTTCTGTACTTAATCTGCAGTGCTGTTGCTGCTGCTTTTGTATGGCAAGAGAGGAAGTCCAAATTTGTGAGCCATTGTGTAAGTGAGCCACTTGATGTAAGTCTGAGATGCCACCAGTAAACAATCAAAGCAGGCACTGATTTACAGTGTGATCCATAGTTTGTGACTGGTGTCCACAGATACATTGTGAGTTGTTGCTCATCTTCCAAAGGTGCAAGAGATGACAGCATCTGCCATTCAGTGTTCTAAAATGGTTCAATGTGGGCCATTCTTTCCAGTGTAGGTTTAAGCCAGGAAGTTTTTTTGTGGGGTTCCGCAATGAGGAGTTTGTCTGAGACATTAGATTATCCCAGAATTCTTTCCTATGTGCTTCAGGATTGAATGAAAATGCTTTAAAAGCTATAGTCCAATCCCCAAAAGGCTTGCCAGATTTCAGTCCTTTTTTTGGAAGGTTCAGGTGGTCCTCATGAGTTGGTAAGTTCTTGTAGAAACAGCAGTTGGTGAGTTGTACAAGAACTTACCAACTCATGAGGACCACTGTATTCTCCTGTATTTGAAAGAGAGGATATCCTTTTACAGTCACCACCCCAACTGGCAAATGTTGAGGTTTTAATTGCATCCCTGTATATATGATTTATTTTGCTGTCTAAACAGGATAGCTTCTCATCAACAATAACTTTCTAGGGGAATATTTAGGGTATCTGTATGTGTATGAAACTTATTTTTTGCATACTGTACAGCTCCCAAAGTCTTGGCATTCTGTTGTCTGAGATGCTAACAAGAATTTATGGACCACTGAGTTGGAGGACAATATTTCTATTGTGTAGTAATCTGCTTATTCTGCTGTGTCTGGCTTCATCAAAGAGATTCTTGTATTTCAGAGCCCTGAATGTTCTGTGCTTGTCTTTAAAACTTTTAAAGTTTAATTTTACCATATCTCAGAAAATAAATCAGCTTCAAGTTAATAATTTAACAAAACTTTCAATAAAGAATTGGACCTTTTTGTAGTCAGATACTTATATTAGAGAACACCAGTTAGGTTTTCCTACAATCCATTCACAGCAGTTAATCTCATGAAATGTTGTTTACCTAGGTCTGTAGCATATGATTCAGAGGACTGATTTGAAGAACTATTACTTTTAAACTTGCAACATTAGTTGTTTCATTACAGTCGATTATTTTAGGATGCTTACTCATCTAGGCTTGTTGGTGTTTAATTTTTTTCTTTCAAAAGCTAGAAGAGCCATTAGTGGACAAGATTTTAAATTTACCCCCAGCTTTCACTATCAGTTTTAAAGCAATAAATGTGGAGTGGGGAAAGAAAAAAGATTTCTATATGTTTAAAAAAGTCAGGTTTTTATGATATGTTTAACTGCCTGTATTTTTTCCTCTCATTCACCTCCCTCACATTCACAGCCTGACAAATGGCATTAAAGTTCATCCAAAATGTCTTTTGGGTCAATTTATTTAATATTTCACTATCCTGACAGACATTTGTGTGTGATGTTTTTTCATTACTGTTAGTTCAGTGTTCTTGCCAGTCCATCCTATTCCCTCCATTCCCCTGTCTCCTCAATATAATATAAATGAATAATTTCTTACTGGAAAAAGGCTAATTGTAGGCTGTCAGTTCAAAATAGGATGGGAATGGGGTTGGTCAATATAATATGTGAGCTGTGTTTCACTTCTTTGCTGTTGCTTGTTGCTGAGTTGTTGCATAAAAAGAGAAAGCAATATAATAGGTTACAATTAATTTTGGATCCATGATTATATCTCCATAGTAAAGGTTGGGACTAAGTTCCATTATAAGCCTTATTTCTTGCTTGTCCAGCTTCCACATACCATAATTTTAACTAGGAACATTTTGATTTGGCCTAAAAATTGTCATATATGCTTTAAAAGCAAAGGAATGTAAATAGAATTGGCCAAACTATTTTTGTATTTATTGTATTAAATATCAAGAGTCTAATTTATTTTAGTGAGAGTAAGATTGGGCCTCTGGTCACTGACAGACAGAAAATACTACCTTTAAGTTAAGGTTCCTATTTACTGTACAATATGTAAACCAAGGAATGTTACAGCTATAAAAACCTTAAGACTGAAAAGTGTCGGAAAGAACAGTTATGGGAAGAAAGGTAAATATTCAAATGCACTCTTCATATTGTCTATAATACATGTCAGTGAGTTGCAAATTCCAAAAAGAACCTTAACTTCACCCATATTCCTGCCCAGTCTCAACATATAGACCATATCCCTCTTACATCATCCACTCTACATGTTTTGAATATGGGCTACAAACTGTCATAAACAACCACGCACCCACCATGCATGGCCCACACCCCCAATCACAGTCCATCTTTTGGCTTGCCTGTCTGTTATCAGAGATATGAACACCTTGTCTTTTGCCCTCCATATAAAGACCAGAGACAACACTCTTTTAAAGCAAGATTCTAAGGAACTCTATATTTTTCAGCTGCTGGTGTAATAATAGCAATATCTTAATTATTACTGAAAAAATCAAGTTTTGGCTTGTTTAAAGGTTTCCTAAGCTGTTGCTTTCTTGCTTCATAGGATGTCACCTGTGAGTGATATGTGGTACTATCACTGGAAACGGAAGCTGCCGCACTTTCTGTATTTATTTACTATCTACATGATATGTGTGCAGGATTTGGGTAAGTGAGAAAACTATCATCTCTTTCCAATAAAAGATCATGGGCCCAGTTTTGGTGAATAAGAACTATCCTTATGTATGGCTGTATTATGTATTTCCGTTACTTTCACAATTTAATATTTTGATTATGTTGTAATTTGATAGTTTGATTTATGTTTTATGCTATTGCCAAGGTTCAGTTTTTCTGTTTTTGAAACACTGTTTCACTCATCCATCCCTGCCATTTCTTTTTTTTTTTCGGCTAGTTGTGCAACTTGACTTTATTTGCTTGACCCTTTCTTCTGATTTTTCTTAGTAAGTTCTTGCATCTCTCCCGATTTTCTCATTCATTTCTGCTTCCTCTATTGAAAGAATAAGGTGTGATACTTAAATATTTTTCCAAATTTGGGGGTGGGCATGTGTGTGTGTAATGTAGTGACTTTTCACATCACAAATAAATTGATCTTAAAAACTGTAAATGAAAGATGATGATGATTAATTTTAAAATAGTTTGTGCACATGCAATTTGAATGATATAAAATATATAAATGATATGATATAAAAATTGCTTAAAAAATTTATAGAACAATCATATACTGGACAGGACATTTAATTAACAACTCAGTCTTTGTCAGCCTGTATAAACTGGTGAGTGCAGAATTTTGTAACATTTTGAAATTATTGTCTGTAAACTGAAAACCTAGAGATTTGATTTACCAAATGCCTTTTCCTGACAATGAGTGCAGAAAGTATTTTAGGAGTTTCAGCTGCTTTGTTGGAAAAACCTCTGCAGTTTACTGGACAGTTCTTGAGCATAAGAAAACCTTAGAGCAGATTGTGGCATGCTAATTCCATATCAAATGGGAAATTTTCCAATTACTAACTTCCCATTGGAAAGACCATACTAAATCTGCAAAACAGGGTGGAATATATAGAGATGTTCTGTTTTTTTTAAAAACAAAGAAGTAAAGAACTTTGAAATTTCATCAGAGGTTATGTATTTGTTAAACTGTCCAAGCTGCACATTCATAGTTTCAATTGCACAACAGTTTAAGTGATAGGTTTCAGAGTAGCAGCCGTGTTAGTCTGTATTCACAAAAAGAAAAGGAGTACAAGTGGCAGTCTCTAAGGTACCACTAGTACTCCTTTTCTTTTAGTTTAAGTGATGTACTTTTTAAACTTAGATAAAATATTATAGACAGAAGTCTACGTTTGGGGCCAGACTGTCTGCTGTAGCTGATTAGTGCTTAGCACAGCTGGGGTGTGCAAAGGTCCTATGTGAATCCCTAAAGCTTATGCTCTAATAAATTGGTTAGTCTCTAAGGTGCCACAAGTACTCCTGTTCTTTATGTGAATCCCGTTGATCTTGAGCTCTCCAGCTGCCAGTCTGGTCCTTAGTGTAAAATAAACCAGCTGGGGGACGGCTCTAATTTTCATCAGCTGTTTAGTGGGCCCTGTGTCTGGCAGTTGTGGAATGCTGGGGCACAAGGATGCCTCAGACAGTCTCCCTGAGCTGGTCACTAGGAGGGTTCAGAGCCACTACAACGGCTCTGTACCATTGCAGTATCCCTCATTTACAGGGGCATATGTGCCAGCAGCTGGCTACACCAACTTTAAGGTTGCTTAATACCAGTGGAGTGGTACAAAGAAGCCAAAATGCATTTGATAATCAGAGAGACAAGGTGGATGAGATAATATTGTTTATGGGACTAACTTCTGTTGGTGAGAGAGACAAGCTTTCGAGCTTACACAGAGCTCTTCTTCAGGTCACCATCAGAAATTGGTACAATAAAAGATATTACCTCACTCACCTTGCCTCTCTCATATCCTGGGACCAACACAGCTACAACAACACTGCAACATGCTCAAATAAATTGGTTAGTCTCTAAGGTGCCACAAGTCCTCCTTTTCTTTTTGTGAATACAGACTAACACGGCTGCTACTCTGAAAACTGCATACTTGTTAATCTGGTATTTTGTTTTGAAATCCACTGATCTGATACTTGTCAATTTTTATGTTTCTGTTTTGTTTTGTTTCTCCTGTCTTTTGGCTAAAAAGAAAACCTGTGTTTTATGTGTTAACCCCTTTATTGCTATTCGAATGTGAGTGTGTGTAGGCAGGAGTTTTCTACTGTACATTACTTTTCAATTAATGGAACATCAGATCATCAGACACTGTAGATAGGATAGCCAGGAATAAACAATTTCAATAGACAGATATGTTTGCAGTTCAGCAATGAAGCAGGTCACAAGCAAAATTTGTTGTTGATACTCTATTGAAATGAAAATGATACATTTACATTTCGTGTGATGTCATTTCAGTGGACTTGTCTTCAGACCCTTGGGTTTTCATTTTTAGTGCTGTCCTTGCAACTCACAGGTGTGTTTCTTCTTTGTTAGGCCATAAGCTAGAGCTGCAATATACTAACCTTCCCCCCATATCTTTGTACTTTTTAATAGAAGTTTTGCTATTTGAGGTGTACTAAGAGGATTACAGCAGCCCTTTTAATGCATTACAGATTCTTTGCCATATTTTTTCTTTTTACTAAAGATGTATGTCAGTTTGGCTTTGGACACACATGGTACCCAGAATGTTAATGTTAGCTTAAATATTACTGAAGTTAATGCAATAGAATAAATGCCATAAAATCTCACATTCAGCCAGCTTCACTAGTGATCTGTAATCTCAGAAAGCTATTGATTTTTTGCACTTTGACTAGCGGAGGTTAGATATGTGGAAGGATGATGATAATCAGATGCCTTTCTCATGGATTAACTATAGGGCTGGTAGTCAAGGCAAAAAAAGTCAGTCATGCCTTTGTCGGGGCACAAATTCAAAAGTAATAATTTTACAGTGAGAGCTTTGCTTGCATAAGGATGCAGAATCAGGCTTATTTTCAGAAAGAAAACTCAAGGGAGGAATAAACACAGCAGAAAACCTATAATAGTAGCAGAATTGTTTCTGAATAGAATGTTTGTTCAGAGTTTTCTGTGATGTGTCAGCAGCTATTTAAGGTGAACAGCTCCTTTTTTCTGAATTGGCTAGTTAAATGCAAACATACTGAAAGACAAGTGCAATAGCTCAGTGAATTACCCTAATATAGACCTGCTCAAAAGCACATTGAAGTCAGTGGAAACACTCCCAAAGATTCATAGATTTTAAGGCCAGAAGGGACTTATGATCATCTAGTCTGACCTTGAGTCTAACGTAGGCTATGTGTTACCAGATTTGCCCATTACTTTGGGGTATGCTTATTTATTAGGGTTACTCTTCTGGGGGGAGGGGAGTTCTGTAATTCTGTTAATGTACTGCTTATGTCACTTGTGTGTTCATATGGACCTCTACTCCTTCCTTCTGCAAGTCCCCTCCCAATGGAACTATTCTGCAGAACCTAGGTTCCCCAGGGCTGGATTCCTGAACACGGACACACACACATGCACACACTAACAGAGCAAGTCTGAGCAGACCGGATCAATCAGCACTTTCAAGCTGTCACGCTTATATGTCCCTGGACTCAGTAGGCTGGGTCAAGCAGCACTTTCAAGCTGCAACCTTATTATGCCACAGGTTTAGCACATCCCTATCCCCACTTTCACGTCACAATTGTACTGGTAGTAACTCACTTGATGAGCAAACCCCAAAGTATTTTGGGCACTACAGGGATCTTTAGCATTGCTGCAGAGTAAATGGGGAAGCTAAAAACACAAAAGAGTAAAGTTCAGAGAGAGAGAGAGAGAGAGAGAGAGAGAGAGAGAGATGCAACCAGCTTAACTATAAAAGTTATTTATTGAATAATAGTGATAACTACACAAGGAGAGCCTAAACCAACATAACAGTTACATTATTAAAGGTTAATACTTGAGGTAGAAAAGAAAACAGAAAGAAAGAGAGAGAGGGATCTTATCCACTCCATGAGGCTTGAACTGGTTGGGGTTCCCAGGTGATGGTGGTAGCTCAGGGTCCTGGGTGCTGGAGGCAGGCAGAGCCCCTAGCACGATCAGTCAGGAGATGGAGTCCCAGTGAAACTGAGACAGAGTTTGGGTCCATGAATTACTTGGGCATAGGTAGGGGGTTTTGTAGAGAAACAACAGTGGTTCAAGGGAGAACACTAGATTTGTTTATGGGTAAACTGATGACTTAAGGGTTTTCTTTGGGCTAGACAATCGGAGCTGATCACTCTTGGCTATGGGTGGTGTTTTCTTCCAGGGAGCTCACAATGCAACTAGGCTGCTTCAGTATTTTGGATATCAATCAAGGATTCGTTACTAGAATTGATCTGATAACTGCTGAGCTGGGTGTGTGCAAGCATAGGTTCATTAACATCTGGAGTAGAGATCCCCCATGATGCAGTGCTTCCCTGCTTTTCTGGTCCCAGCGTTCAGTGCAGTTCTCTGTTCTCCATTCTGTATGCTAATTGAGATGTCTCTCTGTCCCATCTTTCATGCAGATGAGGCTAGGGGAGTTGCCTCAGTTCTCCATTCTGTATGCTAATGGAGATGTCTTAATCTTGTCACCCTTGTCAGGAAGGTCTAGATGTGTCTTCTAATGCCCTCCATGCTCTCTGCAAGTCTTTTCTCTAATCGGTTTTGATTCAAGCAGAGACTGGTGGGGGGTGTCTTTCATGAGTCAGAAAGGCTGGATATTGCGCCCTGGTTCCCCAAGAATACAGACCTGGTTGGTATCAAGTTGGACTTTCCTGAATTAATTCCTGTTTGAATTAAAGCATGTCTTTTGAAAAAACTTGCAATCTTGATAGGGTTGTGAGTTCAATCCTTGAGGGGGCCATTTAAGGATCTGAGCCAAAAATTGGGGATTGGTTCTGCTTTGAGCAGAGGGTTGGACTAGATGACCTCCTGAGGTCCCTTCCAACCCTGATATCTATGATCATATACAATGTGCTTTGGATCAGGTCCTGGAAGATCATGGGACAAATCCTCAGCTGCTGTAAATTGTCATAGATCATTGACTTTTAATGGAGCTATGGCAATTTACACCCACTGAGGATCTGTATTTACCAACAGG